GTCAGTGGGTGTGGGTCAGTCTGTGTGTGGGGGGATGCGTCTGTGTCGGTGGGTGTGGTCAGTCTGTGTGTGGGGGGATGTGTCTGTGTCAGTGGGTGTGGGTCAGTCTGTGTGTATGTTTCTGTCTCTGTCTGTCTCTCTCTCTGGGTATATGGCTGTCTGTCTGTCTCTCTCCCTCTCTCTGTGGGCGTCTCTCTCTCTCTGGGTGTGTGTCGGGGGTACAATAAGTGAAAATCCCGTTCAACATTCACCGCGCCAGTCTGAACACGGCAACTTTCCGACAATGTATCATTGAAAGAAGAAAATTAAACTGTTATAAAAATTGAATAACTTTCACTAACGTTCCATCGCACTGAGACCGATGAACAGATGAGTGTACTGAGTCGCTGTGCCGGGGAAGTGCAGCTTCCCTGTACAGATGGAGATGGTTTATAACAGAGTCTTACCTGGAGGAATGCAGGAGCAGTGTTGACTAGTCAGAGGCTGGCATGTTGGTACGGTGCCACAGCAGGAGACCCTGGGCGATCCGGGCACATAGTAATAATTGTAACCCATCCTTGAGGCACCGACGGCCAGGTTGGGGTGTTGAGGGGGGGCAGGAGGAGGAGGAGGAGGCGGAGGAGCGACGGCTGGAGGGTAGAGACTGAGATAGTCAGCGCTGGCACACAGCGAGTCAGCGCCGAGCCCCGGGTACGTGGGCAGCGGAGCGCTGGGCAGAGGCGCCGAGCCCTTACACCGAGAGGGCACTCCTGCTAAAATACTGTCGATGCTGAACATCGCAGCCGGCATTACCACTTCACCCCGAACACCAAGGGAAAGGACTCATGCATCTACATCCAAAATAAAACCACAGAATCAGTTACTCTCCAAAACAAACAAACAAATTGCGCCGTTAGAACACAACTGAAGGTAACACTTGACAGATACAAAGTTGACTGGAGTTAGTTCATACAGCGCTCTCTTTCTCCCTGTCTGACTCAGTTCACTGGACTAGGCTTGTTCCCACTGCTTTATACACACAGCCCGCGTCATGAAGCTATTCTTACCCACCCCTTCACCCCCTACCCCCCCCCCCCCCCCCCCAACTTTATGTCATTGGGAAGGGAAAACAACGTTATTCTGTTTGTTGTCACATTCCCCTCCTCTCTATTTTACACATGCACACAGGGGATCCAGTGCCGGAACCTCAGTATTGTGGATTAAAGAAATTAAAAAATGTAATCTTTCCTCACTGTGTCGACCCCAGCACCCCCAACCCCACCCCCACCAACCCCACATTAGCTTTTAAGGCTTTGTAATCGTTTGGTTTTAAATTGAACCCGCCTCCATCCCACCAACCACACCTCCACCCCCCCACCCCGCATCTAACTGGCCAGTAACAGTTAATTGCACCCTCTAATCCGATTAGTGAGGGTTGTGGTAAAGGCCGGTTTGCAGACACACCGCACCTAACAGTGGGCTCGGAGGAGTTGGGGTGGGGGCGGGTTGGTGCGTGAATGTGGATTTAAAACGCGGGTTAGTTCCTCTCTCCGGGTTCTTGTTCTTGGGAAAGTGCCCCATTAAATAAACCACCCTTTTCTCACCCTTCCCAATATTTAGGCAGAGCTCTCCACAATCTGGCTGCAGGGAAAACACCATACAAAGTGTTACAAAGTGTCTCTCGTCCCTAATTCCCATCATTTACAGTTTAACTAGCCTCCAGTTTCACCCGCGCAGGGAAAAAAAAATCTTGCTGTATAAAGAAAATGCAAATTCCTTTTGCCTTTCTGTCTGACCATCTATCTCTGTGCCTGTCCATGTCTCTTCCAAAATGTATCTCTTTTTGGTGTTAAACTCTTACCAATGCTTACGAATACAATGTATCAATCTCTGTCTAAAATGTATACATTTACGTATCCATATAAAAAACTAGAAAAATAACGATCACCCGAAATAAACCACAAACAACTGTTGATCAATATCTTTCCGTCCGGAGTTTGTTTTCTTATTTAGGGCCTAGACGTCGTTTTTACTGTAATTCTGTGAACGGCTGCGGGGCGAGAAGGCAGAGTCTCGGCTCCTGAAATAATATTTAAAGTTGGTTTTGCTTTGTAAGTGTTTAATCCGATTTTGATCTTGAAGAGAACACGCAATTTTCAAATCACAGCACGAGCTGGTTAAAACGAAATCGGAGAGAAAATAAACGTAGAGAGCAGATAGAGCGCGTTTGGTTTGATTTTTATTGTAATTATTTTGTTTTGAAAACGATACTCTCCAGCTGAGAGTGAATAATAGTCAATTTGCACTCGTGGGGGTTAGTTATTTAAATTGTGAAGTGGTGAGGGGTGACCATCGCAAGGGTGAGGTGTTAATAATCTACCCTGCTCCAATCCACAAACCGGGGAAATCCCCGGGACTGGGATTGTTTTTAAAACATGAGAAAAAAAGGCCATTAAAAGGTTTAGTTTCCCCGCGAGCAGCGCTCACTGTGCAAATAAGTGACCCATTAACAAACAAGCCAGTCACCACAACTAATTCATTCAGAAAATGCATTTAAAACAGCGACATTACAAATATTGTGAAACATTTTCATATCACCAAACCCTGTGAAAATGTTAAACAAACCCTCTCCAGCGGTAAACCATTGAGTTCTCCCTAAACTGATCCATTTTTGGATTTGAAGCCTCCTCCGACAGCCGCTTCCTTCTCACCCCGGGGTCTCACCGAGAAACGGCTCAGGATATGAATGGTTCCGGGATTTTCCGTTTCAGGTCAAATAATCGGAATTCTTTTTCTTTTTCTTATTATTCGGAGCGGAGGAGAAAGGTTGTCGGATGGTTTGAAAACCTGCTCCAAAAAGCTCTCGACATACCTTCACCATAGCCTATGGTTTGGAGTTCGAGAGAGAGAAACGGGCACAGGCTAAATTTTACTCTGTGACGGCTCATATACATGATCACTGTCATGTATATACGTATATTAGCCCTCATCTACATTAACACAGTCGTCATATATAAATACATTAGCCCTCATATACATTAACACAATCACACTGTATATAAAAACATTAACTCTCATATGCATTAACAGTCAGACCGTACATAACTAACTCTCATATACATTAACACAATCACACCATATATAAATAATTAACAATCATATACATTAATAGTCACACAATATATAAATATATTACCTGTCATGCATTAACACAATCACACCATATGTAAATACATTATCTTTTATATATATTAACAGTTATGCCATATAAAAATAAATACTTCTCGTAGGCATTAACGCAATCTCACCACATATAAATACATTAACCTTCTAATATGTTAACAAGTAACAACATATATAAATACATTACTTCTCATGTACATTAACACCGTCTTGCTATATATTAAAACATCAACCTTCATATAGATTAGGTCTTATATATTCCCGAATAAATGCTTATACAAAATTAATACACACACTCACACGCAGACAAATATACATTATTACCAAAACATTCATATGCAGTAACATGCTAACTCCTATGCTAACACTAATATATATTAATGCATTAATAATGACATATTTCTATTTATATCATGTTTTAGCTTAATCAAAATATTTCATAGCGTTTCACAAAAGTATTATTAAACAAACTATGAGATTGATCCTTACAGAGGTGTTGTTTGGTCAAGGGGTTAGATTTTAACATAGTATCTTAATACAGTAAATGTAGAGAGAGGAGAAAACGTTCAGGAGGGAACTTCCAGAGCTTGGAGCCTAAGCAATTGACAACAAAGGCACAAATTAATTAAAACCAAGAAAGCCATGGATGTGCAAGAGGCCAGAGTTAGAGGGGAGAAGATGTCTCATGAAAAGTTGTAGGGCTTGAAGAAATTACACGCGGAGAGAGAGAGAGGGGAGGTCATGGAGGGGATTTAAAAACTAGCATGAGAATTTAAAGCCAAGATGTAGATTGATTGGGAGCCAATGGAAGTTAAGGAGCATTAGGGGTGATCGCTAAATGGGCCTTGGTGTGAAGAAAGACATTGGCAGCAGAGATTTGGAAAGCAAGGTTTCAGAGAGAAAACGCTGGGAAAGCAGTCAGCAAAACATTGGAACAGTCTAAGTGTAGCAAAGACCCGAATGTGGATTGCAGCAGCAGATCAGCTAAGATGGAGCAGAGTCATAGAATCAATAAGTAATTACGGAGCAAAAAAGAGGCCATTCAGCCCAGAAAGTTTAAGTCAATTCTTTGTAGAAAAATCCTGCTCAGTTTCATTCCTCTGCTTTCTTCCCCTGCAGTTCCCCTTTGAAATTGTTAATATATTTACTTCTGCCACCCTCATGGCCAGTGAGTTTCTGCTCATTATCACTCGCTGTTTTAACAAGTTACTCTGCAGATCCCCCTCCAACTTTAGCCCCAATCCTTAAATCTTCAGTCTTCTGGTCCTCATGCCATCCGTTAATGGGAACTTGTTTTGTTTGTCCACCTTATCCAAACCCGTTATCTTCTGATATTCATCCACCAAATATCCCCACACTCTGGCTTGCTCCAAGGAGGATAAGCCTAGTTTCACCACTCTACCCTTATAGCTAAAATCCTTTGCTCCCAGAACTATTCTGGTAAATCTCACCTGTCCTTTCCTAAAGTGTGGTGAGAAGAACTGGGCACAATACTTTAGCTGAAGCCCAAGATCCCATATACTATGTGAACTCCTCTCACATTATGTCCTGTCATTTCCAATGGCCTATGAGGGTGAACATAGGCCAAAGTTGGGAATTTGTGGTCTCAGTGATGCTGCAGGTATTAGTCAGAAACTCACTGCAGGGTCAGACATTAAGATTGCAAACAACCATGTTCAATTCCTTCAGAGGACTAATGCTCACACACATTACCGCTCAAACTGGTATGTGTCAACACAGTAAATAGACACACACCTGAAACCCATACTCATAATGGTATACGATAAAACACAGTTAAGATAAAAATAATTGTATATTAAACCCACATAGAAAAACAAGTATACACTAGCAGGCGCATATACACTGAGAAACATGTACGCAATAAGAAAACTCACTAATATCCATTAATATTTACTCAAGTATAATACCACACTCACACAGTAATTAATGTGCACCAAACATGCATACACATGTTAAATAATTCTGTACAAAAGGCTGGGACTCCGTTGCTTGGACTCTTCCCTCAAGATCAAGTGGTTGAGAGAGTTCATTTCCCACTCCAGTGACTTTAAAATGAAAATCTGTGCTGAACCTTGCAGCATTGTACTGACGGAGTGCCGCACTGTCGGAGGGTCAGTACTGAGGGAGTGCCGCACTGTCAGAGGGTCAGTACTGAAGGAGTGCCACACTGTTGGAGGGTCAGTACTGAGGGAGTGCTGCGTACTGTCAGAGGGTTAGTGCTGAGGGTGTGCTGCACTGTCAGATGGTCAATGTGAAGGGACCGCCACTCTGACGGAGGGTCAGTACTGAGGGAGTGCCACAGTGTCAGAGGGTCAGTACTGAGAGAGTGCCGCACTGTTGGAGGGTCAGTGCTGAGGGAGTGCCGCACTGTCGGAGGGTCAGTGCTGAGGGAGTGACACACTGTCGAAGGGTCAATGCTGAGGGAGTGCTGCACTGTTGGAGGGTCAGTACTGAGGGAGTGCCACACTGTCGGAGGGTCAGTACTGAGGGAATGCCGCAATGTCGGAGGGTCAGTGCTGAGAGAGTGCCGCACTGTCACAAGGTCAGTGCTGAGGGAGTGCCGCACTGTCACAAGGTCAGTGCTCAGGGAGTGCCGCACTGTTGTA